TGAAGCGGTGAGGTGGATTTGGGGGTTGGAGAGGGTGAGGGTTGGGTTGTGGGAGAGGGATTGAGGTGGATGTGTTTTTGAAGTCAGTGTCCAGGCTGTCCTTCGCGTTGGCGCTGATCAGTGTTGTAAGGTGAACGGCTGGCTGACTGATTCATTCACCAAGTTGAGGTTTCTCTGGAATCATGAACAGGCTTCCAATCATTTGATTAATCCAACCCTGGAGGTAAATTGGGGGCTTTGGTGAAGGCTGAGCCGCATTCATGTCATCTTTCTAGTCAAACTCTCTCCTTTCAGTCGTTCCCCTTTTCCCAGTCCAGTACCCTTCAGTCTTCATTTCTTTTTGATGCTCAAGTCTTCACTTAGACGAACTCCAAGCACTCAGCGCGGTAACTGCCTCGCCCTTCAGTTCGCCGTATACTATGGGCCCGGCCCTGGACCTCCTATTTTCCCAGAACACGGAATGCAGTGAAACAATCCTGTTCCTCGATGAAATGTTCTCCGACAGCCACCAGGGTTGCGCAGTTGACGACTCGGCGGCTTATCTTAGTGTCGCATGCGCTGGGCGGACTCTCCTTTTGAATTCCGCACGTCGTCGCTGAGACTCACTACGACTTTGGTGGAGGCCGAGGACCCCACAGTCGCGCTCCGCTCTCAGGACCCCGAGCTATCTTCTCGTCCATCCTTTGGCGGGCGACCTTCTTCTCCTGGATCCCCTGCACACGCGCCTCCAAGGCTTCGACGGTCTCGCCGTCTCCAATGCAGCTGCATTGGCGCAGCTTCTCGATGGCTCTGCTCCATGTCCTGCCCGGTTTGGTCTTCGAAAATGCGGCGCCGGACTGCTCTGCCTTCCTCCAGCTTGACTTGGCCACCTGTGTCGCGCGCTCCTTCTTCGGTCTCGACAAGGCGCTGAACGGCGATCCGGACTGCTGATGGTGGTTCACGCGGAGAGACCAGTTGGTGCGATTCTTTCGGGTAGGCAAGGGTCGCGCGTAGTCGACATGGCCACCCAGGACCGGCAAGGATGGGAAACGGGGTTTGGCCTTTGAGGCTTTGCTCTTCCAAGACGACGAGCGGCTGCGGCTGGCGACTTTGCCGTACCGACTGAAACCCTTTCCACTGCTTCCCTTATTGCCTGTCGACTTGCTCCGGCCGCGTTTGAAGGAAGTCTGCTTCTTCAACGCATCGAATTAGCCGCGCGTGTGGTGCAGGTGTCGCTTCACGAGATTTGGGTTCTTGGAGCTGCAGGCTTGCCCGGTCTTCGTGGTGATCGCCTTCCACTTTCTGACGCTCATTCTGGTAGATGCAGGTTCTGTCTTCCACGGTCGTCAGTTGAGTATACGGCCTTGCTGTATTGGGAGGATTTTACTCATATGTTTGATGGCATATTTAACACTTACACAGTATCCGACACAAGGAACAAGCCAATAGGCCAAAGAGATAGAGATGACCGCTCAGCCCGCTCGAACTCAGTACGCCCAAGCTGTTTGGAGGTTGCTGAGACAGCGAAGGTTTGCTCGTATCGTGGGTTGACTCGTCGGCCGTGGTGGTATATCTAACGCTCTCGAGCGCGTGCGATAGAATGGAAATGGAGAATTGATCAAGAAGACAAGTGCTGATGATGACAACAGGTTCTCTTCGACACGAGAAGGTATGAATTGGGGCAACAGAAGTGCTCTGGTGCGAGAGTGGATGGATACACCGTCAATAGCGCTCGGACGCGTGCCAGGTGACTGATCGCGCAATCGGTTGGCCGCCAACCTTCGCGGTCAAGTTTGTCTCGAGCGTCGTGTGGCGAAACTTTAAATGAGCAATATCGAGGAAGGAGGAACCAGAATCTATACGAAGGTGTGTTTACGAAAGTTGAGGTATCCCATTCCCAAAACGACCCCTGAGGCGCGGGTTTCCGTGCAGACACTGACTTTTTATGCAGGAAGTTTCTCCTGTGTAGTTGGTTTGCTGGGCCAACAGAAACTTTGACCATCTTGCCATTATCCATCCTTTGCGAACAGGAATCAGCTTGGGCAAGACAACTTTGAGTGAGAAACTTGGAAATTACGCTGCAGTGATGAGTTTGTGGTAATCTTCGTCGGCGCGGCGGAAACTCTTGATAGACGTGTATTTGCTGGTCCTACAGTATACTGGATTGTGCCATACTTTGATTTCTTGCAAGAATGTCTCACTGTCTTTCCCGGCACTACTTGCGCAGTGTGGTCAGACATCCTCTTGACAAAGCCCCTTGTGGTGGTGCCTAAATGTGTGAGAAACTGACCAGAATATTTGACGCTGCCCTGTGTCTAACTATCCCGACATTGCTTGTAGACAATGCTTTGTCGGCTCTACTAGCCGTGCTCAACCAGCCACGAAGGCCTTCGACCCACGATGTCCTTGTATATGAAGCGATGCGACGTTGCTCAAGGAGTTCTTCAGTTCAATTCAACCACAATCATTCAAAACCCGTCTTCGAGTCGTTGAACAACTTGCTATTCAATTCAATGAGTTCCTCCTCAGTCGTTAATCGACGCTTCGCCCTTCAATTAGCCCTTCTCAACGCCGTCAGACTTTTGCATTCTTGCCTTTTGCCATCAGAGCGACTCTGTCCCCAGACGACTAATTTCTGAAAACCCCCTCCGATCACCGACCAGTTTCAGTGTACCAGCTTGCAACCCCAGTATCCAGGAGTGACCCCTGATTCAGCTCCGCAACAAAATGACGCTCAATCTCTCCAATCTAAACAGAAGCTTCACAGACCAGTACTATATCAACCTGTGCCAACAATTAGGCAATGGTGCCGACGGTAGCGTCTATTGCATTAAGGAAAAAAGTTCCGGATGGTTCTACGCGGCCAAAGTCTTGAGAAGAAACCGCTGAGGCATTACACCGCATGAGGTCCACATTAACGACAAAATATTCTCCGGACCTTTCGTCAACGACCACATTGTGCAATATGAGTGCTGTTTCGAGGGATCAGGCCCGCGCCAGCGACCGGTGATACTCTTTGAATACTGCGAGATGGGCACCTTGCAAGAATTCATGACCAGAGAGTACGGATACAATTTCCAAGTCAGCAACGCCCCGCCGGAAGACATGAAACGCACATTCTCCGTACAGATACTAAGCGCGCTTTTGTTCTTGCATGAGCCAGGGCCGGATGCAAACCGTGGCCCCATCGTGCATCGAGACATCAAGCCGAGCAATATTCTACTTGGGGAAGGAAACGACAGCTCAGGGTGGCCGCGTGTCAAGCTGTGCGATTTCGGCGGCGCGCTCGAGATTGACAGCTGGAGTTGCAATATGGAAAATGCGCAGCGTCCTTCGGACCCCGCTGTCTTCACGCGGAATTACGCAGCGCCGGAAATTCCGTGGCCAATCTCGACAATGACACTCATGTACGCAGCACACCCGTCGTTTGATGTGTATGGCGTCGGGGCGTCGATTTATTTCGCCATTTGCAGGAGACCAGCACCGAGAGATGACCGGACCGTCGCCCTATGGGGAATTGCCTCTTGATTTTACTCGGAAGAATTGTGGCGCGTATTTAGGGGCGCTCTGATGAGAAATCCAGATCCAGATCGGAAGTAGAGACCTTGTTGGATGAGTTGTAACTCAACGGGCGTCTGGTCCTTGAGGACATTTCGGGACGTTTCTAGAACCTGCCCTTTGTAATCGAACACGCGGAATTTGTCCTTCAGAGAGTCTCCAAGTGTCAAGGCGAGAGTCGAATGTGATTGGCTAGGCACTCACTGAGTTTGGGACTCCAAAAGGAGTCAACTCTTTGCAAACCTTCCACGCCGTAGCTGGAGTCTGGTGGATTTCTGTTTCCCGTGCGGTTGCGGTTTCGGTGGCTATCCGACAGCACAACTCAGTCACCTCCCTAAATCCTACATTTCCGCGCAATCTTCACCTCTAATCCCCCTCGTGCTTAAACGACCTGATCCTTCTCTTCTCCTTTTTCATGATAGCTTTCTATATTAATAGTGACTTAACCTGACTAGTATTTTATGTTTCCTAGTCTCTTTATCTATCACTTTACCAGAGCCCAGCTTTTGAAAGACTCATGAACTTGTGAACAGCCCAGTAAAGGCTGCTATTGTTTCCGAGATCCACCGCCCTGTACGGCACCCAATAGAATTATGAAGAGACTTTGTTTAAGAAGCATAATGTTCCTGCCCGCTTTGGGGCAAAGTCGCGCTGCGAAAATCAACATGGTGCTGCTGCTCTCCCTGAACACAAGGCACCACCGCACATTGGAAATTTGGGGGATAATCTGTGTCAGATAAGAAGTTAGCTTCCTGTCATGCTTATTGGAGGTTTTGTAGATTGAATAGGTGCACTGTGAGTATCTCCGGACTACTTTTGATTACCCACCGAAGATCGCAAAACAGCCCCTTTTGCACCCCTTGAGTCGGATGAAAGACCCAGCTCTCGACGCTCCTCGACGATATGAATGTCCCAGTCCTTCCTCTCGACAAACAGCCCAGTTCACTTGACGCCATATTCTACATCTGAGCAAGCACTACTCCACGATGAAGGTCTACGGGGCTTCCGATTCACCAGCCGACAGCTTGACGTCTTTTCTTGATACTGTCTTTCATTTTGAGCTGACTTGAGAATCCTTCATTTGACATGTCCAGGAGCCGGGGGAGTAACTGCGGCGCCTCGATCAATATTCACCACGCAGACACACTCCAGCAGCCAATCCGTACTGGTTGCCGTTGTTGGATGCAGGCAATGTGGTGTCATGGGTGTCGGCTGAAATGCGGCGATTGAAATATCTCCTAATAGCCTCCCCCTGAACCCCTTCTTTTCTCTCATCCCATCACCACACGATTGCAAATGGTTTTACATGTTCTCAATTCATATCTCTACATGTTATCTCCGCATCTCAGTGCTTTCCAAAGCAAAATGCCTCAAGCCCCCCCAAAAGTCTTCCTGGAGCACCCCCTGACTCCCAACATCTGTAATGATATGTTATTCTAGCCATTGTCTATGTCATCAAGCAAGCGGGGTTGGTGTAGTTGGTCATCACGTCAGTCTAACAGAGCATTCTGGAGCAATTCGGAGTGTCTGAAGAGCACTGAAGGTCGCGAGTTCAAGTCTCGCATCCCGTATCCTTTTGCCCTTGATCCAAGGGCGCACACGGTGTGCTGTGCATAATTTTTTGCTGTCCAGGAGACAGGGCGAGGAAATCTTGCCGAGCGGTGGGGCGGGAGGCCTTTTGTGGAGCTTGCTGGGCCTGTGCATTAATTGAAGAGCTGATACAAGGGTTGGTACTCAAGGGTCATGGAATCTTTTTGTACGGAGAGAAGCCATTCTCCAGGAGTCCCATAGTAAGTAGCGGACATTCTGCAGCTCGGCTTGAGTGTTTTTGAACGACTTTGATATGAAATTTCCCCTTCTTTGCTGACATGGTCGACAACTGCTTTTCCTTGTACTCTATTCTGACTGACCTGCGAAAGACACCAAGATATCTCCAGTCGCCAAAAGAAGCTTGAAGATCTTGAAAAGAAGAATATTATGAATGGAGGGAAGGGGAAAGGAGTTGCCGGGACAGGGGGCGCATCGGAAGCATGGTGGCGCTCGGCATGCCGAAGCGCAGAACCAGCTACCCTTCGGGCCGAAATTGCCAGTACTCGGGAAGCCAAAGGACCGACCGAAGGCGAAGACATGGCAGTCAATATGAAATGGTAGGAAATTGAGTTGAATTTTGATTGATTGACTCCATCACGCTTCACAGTTTGTGCCAGTCCACGGCGCGTCGGTGACTGATGTCGCTCAGCAGATTGACAGGGATCTTCGACCAAAAGCTCGGCAGACGTCCGACCATCGTCATTCGAGATTGACGACACCACACAACGCAACTCCAACTCCCAACGTCCACCACAATGCAGCCCCGAAGTGCGCACTGGGTCTGCCATTCTTGCCGCCGCATGAGTGCCCTTAGCTTACCGCGCGCCCGCCGACGAGCTTACGCCACCGCCGCCACGAGCTCGACCACCGCCAAACCCGAGATATACGATGTTGTATGTGTAGGTGGAGGTCCAGCAGGCCTGAGCCTGCTCTCTGGACTGCGTAGGACTACAACCATTCGAATAGTCGTGGGTAAGAGCTGGAAAGCTAATGCGACGCAGGGTCTTCGCCCGTCACCGCAGGTCTCAAGATGGCCTTGATCGAAGGCCAGGATTTGGACAAGGGAATGCTGCGGAATCCGTCGCCAACGACCTTTGCGAATCGATGTAGCTCATTGACGCCGGCGTCGGTCGAGAACCTCAAAGGTAGCGAATCCCTCAGAATGGAAACCATTGGAGCAAAAAGCTAAGGGAGAGACAGACATCGGCGCATGGCAGCACATAGACCACGGCCGCGTACAGCCATACCAAGAGATGCAAGTCTGGGATGGCGTCAGTGATGCCCGCATATCCTTCGATTGGCCCTCGACAGACACGTTCCTCACGCCTCGACGTCCCACCGACCCTACCACAATCGCCTACATGATTGAGAATGCGAACCTCACAACTGGCCTTCTTACGCGTCTAAACAATCTCGGTGGCATCGATGCCTTCTCCCCTACTCGTGTCGAGTCTATCGACCTTGGTCCTGAAGAGCCCTTGAACAGTTCAAGTCCTGACCTCCGCTCCTGGCCTCACATCACACTTTCAAACGGCCAGACCCTTGCCGCGCGCCTACTCATTGGCGCTGACGGCGCAAATTCTCCCGTCAGGACTTTTGCTGGCATAACCTCGCGTGGATGGGACTATGAGCGACATGGTGTTGTGGCCACGCTGCGCCTGGCAGGCGACATGCCTCAGATGCGGACCGCATACCAGCGATTCCTGCCATCTGGTCCTGTGGCCATGCTCCCACTGCCTGGAAACATGGCCACGCTCGTCTGGTCAACACACCCAGCTCGCGCGGCATCGCTTCGCAGTCTTGCTCCTAACGACCAAGCCACCCTTATCGACGCAGCGTTCCGCCTCTGCGTCGCCGACCTTGACTACCTGCATACCATGACCTCCGGCCAGGACGATGAGGTCGCCTGGCGTCTACAACACAGCACCTTCGATCAAGCACGCGTGCCGGGTCGCGTTGCCGCTGTGCAGCCCAACTCTGTCGCAGCGTTTCCCCTCCGCATGCGCCACGCTGACGCCTACTCAGGCCACCGGGTGGCTCTCGTTGGCGACGCTGCGCACACGATACACCCGCTCGCAGGTCAGGGCCTCAACCAGGGCCAGGCCGATGCAGCCGCGCTTGTGCGCACCATCTCCCATGCGGTCGCGGCAGGCGATGACATTGGAAGCACGATTGCGTTGGAGAGCTACGACGCCGCAAGGTGGCAAGCGAACAACGCGCTCCTGGGTGCGTGTGACAAGCTTCACAAGCTGTACAGTGTGGGATGGGGTCCGATTGTCGGCTTGAGGAGCTTGGGTCTGAAGGCTGTGGACAGCGTCGGAGCGGCAAAGGGGTTGTTCATGGGAATCGCGGCTTCTAACGGACGGTGAGCTGGAATTTGATTTACTGATATTTTCTTTCTACCTTCCCGACAGAACAAAGGTCTCTGAATGAGTTAAAGAAGGAGACAGGCGCGGTGGTTTATTGGAATTCCAGAGCTCCCAGATTTGACATGTTGCCTTCGATGTCACTGTAATATACATACCAAAGCTCCAGAACAAACTCAAATCGAGCCTTGCTGGGCAGCAGATGCCGTGATAGACGTCGTCTTCTTTTCCTCAAGTCAATAATCCAGATCAATCAGCGCAATGAACGAAATCAGCGAATGGCCTGGGTCTGCCACTTAACATGATGGGCTCCTGGATGTATCCCGATCCGTGGTCCACAAAGACTGTCCTTTTATCGCTTGTGTCCGCCGACTGGACCTCTACCTCCAGTTCACCTCCGCTCATCTTTTTAGCTTCTTTCGTCTCGAGTCCTATTGATTAGTACTCCTCCGCACCAACTCGTCACCCAACACAACGCCACATTAAACGCAGCATTCGAAGAGCGAGCCGCTTGGCATGTAGGCTGGGAAGCTCGAGTGAGATCGGAGCCTGAGCCAGGTCGCACTCTACGTGCGAAGTAGAAGCCGTCGACATACGTTGTACATTTGTGAAGTGTTTGCGGAGCCTCGAGACTGTTGTCCCCGTGCGTCGTTGGGGCCAGGCTGGGTAATATCTGTGATCGATGAAGGCGACGCTTCGCCTCGTGCTTTGGGCATACCACTGAAACGGATGGATGAATGGTACCAACGGTAGGGAAAGGAGTACCGTGTAGTTCAACGGCGCTTCGAGCTGTCTGGTGGCAGCGCAGGAGGAGCATAAAGAGTGCCTCTGAGATACCTGGTCTTGTCAGCACGACGACGACGGCCTTTTCACTTAGCCTTGAGCATGCCTGTGCGGTTATTTGAGATGAGAGAAGCGCTGCCACTTGAATCCCGAGGGAACACCTATGTCGTCAGTGTTGAGTTATGGGCAGACTGCCAGTGCTGACACCGTGGTTGGACAAGGTTGACTAAGGTATCCCGTGGTATCTTCATGGCTAATGAGTTGGCTGTAGGGGCAGGTTGGTGTGACTTAATGGGAGTTCGATCAGATTTTCGTAGTGAACGTTGGGTAGTGGGAGAGGTTCAAAGAGTGCCCGAGTGGGCCTCTTGTGCCTACACATCCCGTCTTGTCTCCTCACCGACAGGCTCCTGCGCACCTCAAGGTGAATTTGTCCAAGGAAAAGAGATGCCCAGGAGAAAACCGTATGAGATTGGACGACGTCGACCAAGACAGATCCAGAGCAGGGAGTGAGTCCAACGCCAGAGGAAAGCGTATACGCATTCTCCGTCAACCGACCTCCCAACGACGATATACGAAACAGTGCGTCGGGCAACGAAGAAAAACCAAGGTAATACACATCTGTCACCAGAAAACAAGACCACAGAAATCCATGGCTTGCTCAATGGCCTTTCGAAACCCACCAAGACGGGTCCCACCGTCATACATACAGCCGTCGATTCAGCCATTTTCTTGGCCCTACGTGCGAAGTTGGTCTGCCACTGCCTCCAACCAGCCTAGCGCGTCACCCAATCTAGCAAGTATCGTTTCGTACGGGGGGAGGGCAGACCGACCGCGGCGGGGCTTGGGTGGGAAAAGGCACCAAGGAGATTGCCGGTGAGAAGATGATGGCTGCAAGGTCTGTCGGTACTTGTGGACTGGGCACTCGGCGCTGGGGATGTGCCGGTAAGGCGGTAGGCACCGCGCAGGCCCGCGAGGCAAGGCAACGAACAAACACGGGCAGGCGGGCAGGCAGTCGGGCTGCAGGGGGGAGGGGAAATGGTGGGAATGAGATCGTCGGCAGGGGAACGAGCTCTCGCACCCTCTGACGGTTCTGCTGCCATTGCTTATGCTGTGCACGCTTGCACCGCGCGCGCGAATCGGGTGGTCCGGTTTGCCAATTTCGTATCTCGGAGTCCCGAAGGACGGAGACAGGGACGAGGCCAAGGCCAGCGGATGCGTGGGAAAGACAGGTGCGGCATCCGATAACGACATGATGGGGTTGCGGTGTAGGGTGTTTGCATCTGGATGCGCTGGAACGCGTCTGCTTCGTCTGCACACCGCTTTGTGGGCTGATGTTCATGCTCTGGGCAAGGAATATTATTGCGGAGAGGGCTGCCATGCCTAGGTGCGTTGAAAGTGCCACGAGAAAGCTTCTGGCGCACACATCGGGTCGAGAATGGCTGAAAAAATGGATGGCGTTTGCTTCACTGTTTGGTAAGTGACCTGCTGATTGGTTGTAATTTTTGAATTGTCCCACATTGGATGGGAAGTCCAATGTTCACATCACCAGCGAGCTGCGGTCAAGATGAGTGTAGCTGTTTGTGCAAGGGTTTCTCAATCCGGCCCAGATGCGGGTCGGGTGATGACAAGGTAGAAGATCCGGGGAGTGTTTCGAACGGAAAATGATCATCACCGGGCTGCTGGCACAGGCGGAGGGGAACAAATCCAACCATCACGTCATTTTGCCAGGCTACAGCGTGGCTCATCCTGGTGGAGCCAAAAGCCATGGTGGAAGGCGGTCGCAGCCAAGTTGTCCAGTGTGTTCGACGTGCCTGTTACGTAGCCATCCTTCC